TCTCCGACTCAGCTTATATGCATAACGATGCATAATATTACCATAAATATTGTGCATTGGTCGTTACGCATTGCAAAGTTAAATAGTTTGATCAAACAAAATGCTAAAAGGAGCTTATAGTAATTATAATATGTTACGTATCCTCTAACTCCACAGAGACGAGTGACGACATTAGGATAATATTACAAAATATTTCAAAACAACAAAATCTTATTTACTTCGTCGATAAGCTCATTGTTCCGTACACAATATACGCGCGTGAACAGAATATAAAGTAATAATTTAGAACTATTTCTCAACGTAAATACGTTGCGCAAACCAACACCAGAAGCAGAATCTCTCTTGAAAACAGAGAGCCTCTGTGTTACTTGAGATTAATAACTGAGAACTGAGAAGTTGTGAATATTTTTTTTAATACTCACAACGTAAAATATTTTTTAATATTCGTATCTTTAACAAAAACGTTTTTACGTGAATATTTATACGTGAATATTTTTCAGAGAAGTTTTCTATTACGTACGCTTACGTGATATTACGAGAATTTCTGTTCCTGCCTTGCATTCGAAAAGCGTAAAAACGAATTCTACGTATTCGACTGAAGTATGCCATGTGCGAATGAATACCGGTGCAAAGGCGATCGGACGTATGTGTAGAGCACGTAAGAGGCATTGGGCAGCTTCAGTGTTCAATGCTGCAACGAATAGTGCGATTGGCAGCGGTAGATTAAAGCGATAGCATCGTCGAGATTCGCCCGTTCATCAGCGTCCGTTACGCTGAATTCGCGAAGCTAACATCGTCGCTTACAGGAATTTTTACTGTCGGACGATTCTCTCGAGATCAAGCGCCAAAATAAAATTCTTATGTACCTTTCTCTTCCGGCTAGAAAATTGAGGCCAAAAAGAATTCATTATCAAACGAGAATTCTAGCAACGGAACCGTTTCCTTTGATCGGTGCATCGGAAATTATCAAAGACAGAGACAAGGGCTGCGGACTGATATTATACGTGCGCATACCCTATATGCTTCCTTCATTAAATTTTTTGCTCGCATCTATCTTCCAACGCGGAGTACATTCTATGTCTTTTTGCTTCCATTCGAACGAGTTATTAAATTACTGGTGCGATAGAAAAGACCAAAAGGCCGAAAGATGGAAAATACGGAAAGAGAGAGGTAGAAGAGGTTTCCGTAATCTTAAAAAAAATGAGATTAATTTCAAAGCTTGATAGAGATAAATATGGTACGAAAAGAGAAAGGAAAACAGCGACAAATTATCAAAAGATAAATGAAGATGAAAAAATTAAAAGATGTGGTTAAAGAGTAGACAGTGTTTGTGAGAAAAGTGGAAAGAAGTATATAAGCCGCGGTCTTGTTTGCACACCTACGTAAATGGAATTCTTTTCGTTATTAAATTACCTACTAAAATTACACAAAGTACATTAAATTATATGAAGCAATTTAGAAAGTTAAGTTTGCGTATATTGTAGACTATGACGATATCATAACATTTTGCATAGTTACAAAAGCGATCACTCGATACCCTTGTTTTAGAAAAGTCACGCGTGTTTTTAACTTTCTTTTTAGGATTTAATTTCTAGACTTCACGAAAGTCCTTTTAAGACGAAGATTTACTCCCACGTAAGAAGTCTTAAGCTTTTATGCATGACTCGTGCCAATATTACATTATAAATCACGTCATATTCTATAGAGGCAATGTGCGCACGAGGAATATCTAATATCTCTTCACAAAGAAGGTTCGCTATAAATTCTTCTCCCGTATTGTTTCCTATAAAATCGATCTCGAAGATATTTCATGACATCATACAATATGGAGTAATGTGCGATTAACTAAAAAATTAATCTTTTCCATTTTATGCCACGTAGATATAAAATTTTTTTCTCTAAATAAAAATAGCAAAAAATTTCAGAAATCATATTACCGTAGTTTCAATCAGAAATATTTTTTACAAATTATTAAATTCACAATATGAAAATAAAACTTTATAATTTTTTAAAATAAATTAATAAAAGGTTGTTAATTAACTTGTTAATTAACTCTAATCAAAACATGTTAACTAATTAAATATAATTAAAATTATAATTAAAAAGTATGTATAATATGTATATATGGCGATAATTAAAAAGTAAAATAATTACCTTCTCAATTTAAAAAAACATTCTTTGCACAATATTTTTATATTAATCCAAAATATTCTTTGTTCATACATAATACTAAAAGTTTACTACTAAAAAGCGATTGATTATTACTTAGGAAAATGTGTGTTCAATTCATTAGATATTTCATGGGATGCTAATTGTAATTTCTACATCTTTAGCAGCTCAATAAAGAAAAAAAAAGATTCGATCACGTTTCGGTAAATCAGTAAGCTTTGCTTTTATCTTTCGTGATTTGGAAACGGCGATGGTTCAGCTAATGTAATTTCGTGGGCTGAACCAATAAAATCGTGCGAGATCTTGATTGATTGGCGTGTACACATACTTTATTCGCTATTATAGAAACTCAAGTATCATTTTGTTCCTTCCAAATGTTACGCATGGAGCACGCATTGTTCGTATTGACTTCGATAAGTTACAACTTTAAAAGTGTCACGATTGACAATCGGATTCCCTTTTGTGAACAGAGATAACAATTTTTAACTAATAATTTTTAACTAAAATATATATTTCTCGGATGTTTATTTATTTTTTAAGGATGTGAATTTTTACGAAACTCTTTTTATCATCAAAAAAAAAAAATTCCATCAGAGTATTAACAGGGATATTCTGCTTTAATATTCAGACTCCTCTACTGTTATTCAAAACCTTTTCGAATTATTCTTTTTTCATAGAGTCTTTTTTAGGGGATAGTTTACATATTGGTAATACTGGTGGAGAATTTCGATGACGTCGTTGCCACCGATGGAAAGTATCATTGTCATAAAATTATTTTATAATAATGACATCCGAGTTTCATTTTGGAGCACGGCATGTCAATCTCTCTCTCCAACGTTAACCGAGTTACGGCATCTCTTTGAAAGACGATTATGTAGCGCGACTCTCTACACGTGCCATGTGCTCCAAGATAGAAACGGCGTTGACGTTAGCGCACGTGCGTTACGCGCTGCAAGTCGCGAACTAAATCGAGCGAGATAATTACGTTCAATATTTCGTTCAAAGAGAATTACAAACCCGCGGAAGCATTCGCTCCTGTGTGTGTAAAGATCGGAAAATGAAATTGCAAGTTTTCTAAACCATATAGCTACACGTTGTATAACAAAATTACCGACAAAACAAACTTTGACAATTTTTTGTAAATTGTAAAAAAATGTTGCGATAAATGATCGTGTTCAATCTTGCAGCTGCTCAACATTTCGAATTCTTCGAATTTCTTTACATTTCGACCTTGTTTAGCATTCCAAATATTTGTCTATATAATGACATATGCTAGTTGAAAGATTTTATATAAAATGGATTTCGTGAAAAGGATACCCCCCCACCCCCTCGAAAATTGTCTGCCTCATAAATTACGCGGCTGTACTACGATGTCGTATTTGCTTATCATTTTAGTCAAAAATTGCGAGTGGAACAGTCTAAAGGTTCTCTCGCTTCCAATTTAGACGACATTTATCCATCCATGGAGAGATTTATATCAGTATCAGATTTTCACAAAGTCGGAAAATAAAACAATATCTTTGTTTATATTGTAAACTGTAATAAAATAATCCTATTTAATTCTAAATAATAATATCAATCAGATATACATCACCAGTCATTATCCAGTTTTATCACATAAGCCATTAATAAGTCATTAACGTTTAATTGTTTATTTCAATTTCTTCAATAATATGAGTACATATTGTTGATTAATTATAAATAATTTATTATCTTTCTAAATAATTATTCACTTTAAATAATATTATTATGAATTTTGTTAAAAATATCATTTAATCATTGTAAATAGAATAAAAGCTAACTCGTTCATAAATCTCTGTAAAATCATTAATAACACTAACACTCTTTTAAGAAAAATGTTTGTTTTAAAGATGAAGGAAAATGCAAAAGAAATTAAAGAAGAAAAAACTAAATTGACAATTACTTAGGGGATATTATTAAAAATAAGATAATTCCATAAATTTCGCTAATTTATTCACAATCTCAGAAAAGTTCCATACGCAAGGCCGAATTTCGCCGCTTGTGTGAAGTCGAGCAAAAAGCTTGTTAGCGGCGCGCTCAGCAACATGAATAATTAATGTGTTCGACAAATTAACCCGTCGACGTTTAAATCCTCTAGTTTCGTAATTATTAATAAAGTAGATGCATTTTATGTGTCATAAATTTTATACTGACCTGAATAAACATAAGCTCATTTTAAACGCTTGACTAAGATATGCTAACAATTATATCATTATGATAAGGAAGAGGATGATTCTTTTATCGTTAATAAGAAAGAATTTACCATATCTACAAACTAAAAATATTTTTTTTTAATATGTACCTTTTATGACAATTTTACTTGTACACTATTATAGTATTAAACAAGATTTCATCTAATTCGCGGAAATATGTTTCTAAAATAATATTGAATCAATCAATCCAATTAATACACGTGTCCAGGAAAATGTTACATTTAGCTAAAACTGTCAAGATTGAATAAAGATTGAATAAACAAAGGGGATAGAATTCTTTTATCGATTTTTGTCTTTTTGCGTATCCTTCGACCTTCCGATATTGGACGAATCGTTAATTTCCAATAAATGGCGCGCACGTTATTGTGTAGAAAGTCGATTTATATATTCCTTTGAAAGTTCTCACAACAAAGATAAAAGCTGTAAAGCGGGCATGATCTTTTTTGCGGTATACCTTCGCTTTTCAGTTTCGTAATAAGCTGCTTATCTTTAAAACGATGTACAGTGCATTATTAAGTAACGTAAATTTCAGTGATTCGTAGAATATAAAGTGATTCTTCAAAACAGAATTTATAAGTTTTTAAAATGAACAATTCATATATGTAATATAATATTCATTCGTTATGAAAGCTAAAGTGAATAATCGCGTTTTAATTCTTACATTATTCCGATATATTAACTCAATCCTGAACAATCATGTCGAATTTAATATTCTCGATTTATTTCGTATTATAATTGCTCGTACGGTAAGAATTATATTCGCGCATGCAAACTCATCACAAATAATAAGAAACCTTTCTAAAAAAGAGATGCCGTTATTTTATCTGGCCCTTACTTTATTCGGCCGAAAAATCAATAACTGACACCGACTAAGTGGTACTCAAGCGAATGTCGATATTTTTCGCCTCTCTTTCTATTATCTCTTGGAATGCGTTGTCAGTCTTCCCTAATAATCGAATTCGAAAAGTAGACCCTTGCTATCGAAGGTCCTACCAAATAGACCCTTGCTATTTCGTTCATTCTTCGACGAAAGTAAGCGAGGAAATCTTAGAACGTCGACTGACACGGGTCTCGAACAGTCGGTATTTTTATTGACGAAACCATATATAGCGAGCTACTTCTGAATAATTCCTACTTCTGAATAATTTTACACCACGGAAATTTTTTTTTTTATATTTTACGTAAAATATTATGACGGTTATTATTTTTATTTTTATCATTATTATTTTCTACGTTAAAATCATACATACTATAATGCTTACTTTCTATATAAATTAGATTTTATATAAATTACTATTATATTATATACTTTCTTTATTTCATTAGTATCTTTATACCGTCACCAACTTTGTAACTAAAATCAGAATTTTCAGTCTTTGTCATTTTTAATCTAAATTTTAACCTAAATTCTTTTATCATATATCTTGTAATTTTCTTTCCACATAAAGCAAGAACTTGGTTTGTTCCTGAGTACTGAGTGATATTTTGCGTCAAAGAGAATAATGAATTTAAAAGCAACCTATTAATTCCAATTCCATTCGCAAAGCTGCATACATCTCAATTGAGATATTATTTCTAAAATGCAACTGGCTATAGTATTTCTTCTTCCCTCGCATATTTTTCGTTCTGCTGAGGAATATACAGTTTCCTTGAATAAGACGGATTTTTTTGCCGCATTATAATTATCTCAAAATACCTAAGAATATTACTGTTGAGAAAATGTAAAATATTTAGCAACTGTGATACGCAATCAGGATTTAAACAGAATATTTTTCTCTTTTCTCTTTTTCTCTTCTCTTAAATAAAATGGAATAATTCTTTATAATACATATATTCTTTCCTATTATTTAAAAAAAAAAGAAAGTCTAATATTTCGCGAGCATATAATTTGTTTACTTCTTCTGAATTACTTTACCGAAAAATCATATACATATAATTAGACGAAAAGACTTGATTTTCAATAACATCTTTAATGAAGTAGCTAGTATTTAGTTGTGGTTTTCACACAAGAATCAATTACCACAATGATAAACAATTCTCGATATCAATCTCATACCTATGTGATATAGATATTACAGTTTGTCCGACCACAATCATGGAGATTGGATTAATTGTCCTCTGCTAAGGCTCGCTGCCTCGATTATGGTTTATCCTCTACGCACCTATGGATGCTTCTCCTAGCTTCTCTGATCGAACAATATTGGCGTAGCTCGCGACGTAGATTAAATTGAAGAATTCTTCTTCATTGTTCACGATTGATGATATCCGAGCTATCCGATTGCACGACACATCCAATTTAATATTTTATTCCGCTGTGATTCGAATATATTCTGCGATTCATTTTCCTCCGACATGTTATATATCGAAGCTAAATGCGAAATTAAATATGAGTTACACTTTTTTTGCATTTTTTTTTTTTTAGGGACTACGAGAGCAGCAATATCCTGGATAATTTACTATCTCGCATGGAACAGTACGCCACGAATTTAGAAACATTGGTGGAGGAACGCACAGCTGACTACCTCGAGGAGAAACGTAAATGCGAAGAACTTCTTTATCAGTTACTACCAAAGTAAGTTTCCACGGAACGCTAATACAATGAAGTTTTCTTAAAATGAGATTGTCATTACATTTGCCACGAACTTTTTGCGGAGAACCCGTCACGTGTATTTTTCGCGTGTCGCAAAGAGAGTTGTGAAAATATAATTTAAATAGCAAAATTGCTCAGATATTTTTTTGATTATGTCCGAAGTGCAAAATTTTTAAGTCGACATAATATTTGATATCTATATTTTTATTTTATATATTATGTAACAGATTCAAAACACATTTAAATTTTATTTTATATGTTTTCCCTTTATATGCTGTTAGTAATCTTGTAAAATTTAATTTAAACGAATGTTTCCGCAAACAATTTGATTTCAATAATTAAACCGTACACAAAATTTGAATTTGCTTTACAGCTGGCTCTAATTGACTTTTGTTCGCTTAGCCAGCGCTGTTTCTTCACCTACGTAAATTATTACGTAAGCTTTACTAGTAAAAATATGCTAATTTCAAATCAAATATGAATCAGTCATATGTATAAGCATCTTTTTATCAAACATAAATCGTTAATTAATGCGAACGTAAGTGATGATAATTGAGATGTTATATGTCTTCACATCAAATGCATACGGTAATGCATCGTGACGGTAAATTAACGGTTGGAAGAATCCATTCATGTTACAGACAGCGTGAAATTAAACGGTGCAACATATAAATGGAAAATCAGTTGAATCGACTTCCTCACGCGACGGTCCGTGACCAAAGGATTATCGAAAATTGGCCAACCTTAAAATTAATATAAAAAAAATAGGAACGCTCGATGCAAACGATAAAAAAAAGCGAGACGAAATAATTTTTTAAAGCGCCATCGAAAAGTATAATCCAAGTAACAAAGTTGTAATAGAAAATAATTTAAAAACTGAATTGTTTTAATTTTTAATTAAGATTGAATAATAACTAAAATGCAGAAATTATGAAATGATTTGTTTAACATTTATTAATGTAGTTATTATGTTTTAATAATTAAAGCAAACTTACCTATATTTACTTGAAAATGTTATACATGCTCACTATAGAGCAAAATATCACTATAATTGTAAATATACTGATAATATCGACATAATCGATTAAAATCCTTTTATTTCAATGTAACCTCGAAAAGCAAGAAAATTGTATATATAAAGAGTGCTTGTTTAAACAAAATTACTTCATTGAAGTGTATATACGGTTAACATATCCCGTATAACTTCTTGTTTGCGAGCAAGTAAGTACGCGAACCTTAATGAACTTTACGAAGATAAAAGGGAGAGCGAAGTACGAGGAAAATTTGTTGAGAGCTTCGAAAACTTTATCATCACTTGTCTCTCGCGAGTAATAATTCTTTTGTCGAGCTTCAGCTGATATAGTTAGCGCACTATCGTGCGGCAGGTTTAATCGATATCACATCATGATGCATCACAGTGACACGAAACTCGTGTCGGAAGCATCGAGATTTTTGCAAGATACTCAACAACAAAACCGAGCTTCTACAATAAATATATCTGATTGTACATTCAAATACAATAATTTTCATTTTCACGAGGAACTGGATTATTTGATAGAAAATTAACCTTTCTAAACATAATGAAACGCATAGAATGAAATACTAACAAACACATTGCAATATTTCTACATGCATATTTTAAAACTCTTTCTCATCATAGGTACTTTAAATGTAGAAACTAGTAGAAATGTGAAAAACGCTGGTCATGCATATTTTTTTTTCACTTAACTTCTAGTTTTAAAATGTACATTCTTAATACAAAAATTTAAATGTTAAAATTAATTCTATTTAAAAAACACTGAAAACATTCTATACTTCTATACTTTTCTTTTAAAGAAAAATTTAAAAATGTATGCAGATTTTTTCAAAAAAATTATCATTAAAATTGAAAATTCAACATAATAATTTTCTATACAAGCAAAGATCTTGTCATGTTCTCTTTAAAATCATTTATCATCTCTTTTCTCTTTAATTAAAGAACATAAATAAAAGATTAGGTTGCGCTTCCGCTGCCTTGTCAAATACGTCTTATTCTTATTCTTTTCATAATTTTTACGTTTTATTATTCTCAAGTTGTGTCTTGCTTTACATTTTCTCTCTCTGATGTTTTATTGCATTAAACATATATAATATATAATATATAACTGTGTAAATGTACATAAGTGTCCATAACGTATTGAACTTGGATCCGTTAAATTCAAAGAATCACTCTCGTCCCTGCGAAAGGATCTCTCAAACTTCTTTTCCGCTTGCCGCCGTCTATGAAAGACACGTGTTTGTTTGTTTCCGCGAGCAGATCGGTGGCGTCGCAACTGATCCTCGGGCAAAGTGTAATCGCCGAGACATACGATCAAGTGACAATTTACTTCAGTGACATCGTGGGTTTCACAAGTCTGTCGGCCGAGAGCACGCCTCTGCAGGTGGTCGATTTGCTGAACGACCTCTACACGTGTTTCGACTCCATTATCGAGAACTTTGACGTTTATAAGGTAAGTATCGATTTTAAGCGCAACCCGTAGACCTGTAATATAGAGAGATGATTTGAAAGGCTCCGGTCGAAAGGGGTGAATATTTTAACGAGGACAGAATCACGATGCTGGTTAGTGGAAATGACGATAAACTTTCGCTCGCGGAAGAGATATCGCAGCCCGCGCCTGATGGCGTCACGCTCGCAATATCAAAGTTTTTTCGACGTAGTTTTATTGAAGCTAAACGAACAAAGCGTTCATCGTTTCGACAAGTTTTTCCGTTTGCAGGAACCTGACTTCTTCTATTAGGAAACTTCACCCTCATCACTTTCTCTCGGTGTCTCTGTCTCTGTCTGTTACCCTCTCTCTTTCTCTCTCTCCCTTTTCCTCTCCCTTGCATCTTCGCATTTTTCTACTTTTGCCTTCAAGCTAACAATAAGCATTCGTCCGACAATAACATATTGCTCATCCAGCACGCTTTATTTCTCATTGAATCAAGCTCGAGATTCTCCAATTCTATATTTACAAAACGCTCCACGTGGCGTTATTTGGAGCCTATCGCGACATGTTCGACCCGTTAAAGCCAACGCGGAAAAGAGAGAAAGAGATAGAAAGAGGAGGAAGGGCAGTGAAAGAAACATGGCAATTCCGGAGAACAAATCGCCCTTGATTTCTTAGGAGAGCGATTTTCCATGAAAATAACACGATTACCGCGCGTGGACTTGAATCGGAATTATTACGAAATATTCACGTGCCAGGGATCGTGCCTACAGAAAATTATAAAAAATATAAATTATAAAAATTATTAAAAAAATATAAAAACATAATAAACTAAAAGAATTACACTTATTATATAAATTTGCGATTTTAATTAATAAAGAATATAATGTATGCGTAGTAATAGATACGTGGTGACACAAATTGCACGAGATAAATGTAAAATCTTGCCGATGTAAAGGGGATACTTTCATAAGAGTATTTAATTAATGTAGTAGGAACAAAATTACATTAAGAGCGACCATAAAAGCGCACAGAATTTTTAACTGATAAAATGCTAGTGCTTCACTCTCTTTCAGGAGTCTTTATAATTTTACAATCTAAAAAGCACCCCTCGATGCAGCGCGATAATCATATGATTACTGTGACTATATATATATAAGTATATATATATATATATATATATACATATATATGTATATATACCGCACTGCAACAGTTTGCACTAAACTCTATTACTTTACTCTCTAATTACTGATTAAACTTTTCTCTTTTTCTCTTTCAATCCGCATTTTAGAATATTGAATATCAGAATTAAATATAAATTTCCGCTTATTCATTTATATATAACGTTTCAAAACAGGTTCAATGATGAATTTGTATTACAGGAATTTATATTTCTGCGTAACTTTAAATAAATTTGAAAAATAAATAACTTCGATAGAAATTATAATTAATTTTCCATCAATTTTATATTACTTGTGATTGATAAATTATTACAAATTTTCATGGTTTGGTTTGTTTATAATTGGTTTGCATCAATAGTAATTATCAAAGCTTTTTTCAAACTAACACTTTGAGAAATGAAATGGTTTTTACGTCTGTAACACTTTGCTGTTCGTATTTTACGATACTTCCACATTAAATACATCTCACTTATAATCCCTTTATTTCACTCTGGTGTTACAAACTTTTTAAGATCCTAGTGTCTTTGTTAAATAAAAAGACATTCTCACAGACTTATCTTTTGCTCGACATCTTTTTCTCGTAATTAATCTACTTAATCTAAAGATATAATACAAGATATAATACAATAGATGGAAATAGATAAATTTAATATAAAAATATTCTACATCCAGATTTAACATAAGATCGTTCTTTTATCTTCTTAAATGAATGATAAATAAATTAATATATAAATTAAGCTAATACGGATAATATAAAAGAAATAAATTTTACGTAGATAAATTTTACGCGCTTTTATATCGTTTCGTAAAAACTTTTAAGCAAGAATGTATTTGGCACAATTTCTCTCAATTCTTTCAGGTGGAAACGATAGGGGATGCTTACATGGTCGTATCGGGATTACCAGTGAGAAATGGTATGAATCACGCCAGAGAGATTGCAAGGATGAGTTTAGCCCTCAGGGACACGGTAATGACATTCAGTATTCGCCATAGACCAAACGAACAATTAAAACTTCGTATCGGCATGCATTCCGGTGAGTCAATAATTTACAACATATCTTTTTTTGCTCGCGAGATTAGTTGCGAAAGCGAAGCGAGATTAGTTGTAATATAATTTTAAGTTTTGTATTAAGATTTCATTATAATTTCCAAATTTAAAATCAGCAAGAAAAATTATGCATAATTTTATTACTGCATATTTTATTACTACATTATATATTATTTATTCTTTGTTAAGAGATTTTTTGTTTTTGTTTTGTGAATCTCTCTCTTGATTAAAGGGAATAGCATATTCAATACAATATCATATTAAAGAAATAGCATTATAAATCAAGTTTATCTGTCGCGATACTGATCGATTACATGTGCCAAAGGTTGAATGGTATGCGAGCTGCGAATTGATATCGCAAATAGTGAAGTGAATTAAATAAAAAATGCGACAAATATTTCAAAGTATTTCTACAGCGAAAATTTTTCCTCGAGTTTATCTTTTCACAGGGCACCGATCATTGAAAACAATACTCGATACGAACGAAACTGATTCGGAAACGTGTGTGGAAAATTGTTAGAAAATTGGCAACTATCTGCCGTCACACCAAAAAAAAAATATAATGAATTGTATTTCTCGGCTGACGTCGTTATCGTTTTTCGGCTTTGTTTCCATTAATTTTTAAATTCATGACACGCAAGCCCTCAAACTATTACGTGACGAGAATCCTACTTTTATCCCTCGTTTCTATCTCTCGATAAAATTTTTCTCGGTGACACCATGTCGCAAGTGTCACGCATATCCGAAGCGACATCCTTCAAGATCGCGTAGAACTTAAATTACATCGGTCCCGTAAGAAAAAACAGCTCAATGTGATATATATATATATATATATATATATGTATATATACGTTAAGCGGTTGGCTATAATTAGTAAAGTTAATTACTTTTTAAATGGATTCGAAGTGTAACGTTATATTCGCGTCGTCCGACAAGAATGAACAATGTTCCTGGATTTGTGAAGATAATTAGTTGTCAAATTCTTTTTATAATTATTATAAGTGAAAAATTAGCCTTTCAGATATCTATCAGAATCTAAAGATCCAAAATGACAGTTGAGTAAAAAAAGCGAAAATGTTTTTTATTACGGAATTATCTTAACGATAAAAGATATTTTAATAATAGAAAGTATCTTCTTACGCAAAGAGAATCTTTTTCTTAAAAGGAAAGAGAATCTGAACGAATTAGAGTCTGCTTTAAATGTTTCAAAGACGCCCGGAGAAGGAGGAAGGATCCTTCCATATATTTTTCCAACTATTAAATTAGTTGTCTTTTCCCGAGTAGGTAACGGCGACACAAATAACATTGGGGTATACGTATTTGCTTGCAGGACCATGCGTGGCCGGCGTGGTAGGTCTTAAGATGCCTAGATACTGCCTGTTCGGCGATACCGTCAACACAGCATCCAGAATGGAGAGTAACGGAGAAGGTAATTAACAGCTCAGTCATTCTCGGGAAGGAAATATTTCACGACGGGGATGTAATAGGGGAAATGTGTGAAGGTAGAAAGTTATAGACACGAGCGGCAATTAAAAGGGAGAAGTAAAGGTGTGTCGATGAAATCAAGGTCGTCGCTTAAGAGAAAATCGACCCTGCCTCAAGTGTTTCCATAGAGATCACGGTTAGCCCGTTTTCAACCACGAGAACATAATCATCAAACTGTTGAATGGCCTTGATCACGTGTTAACTTTTCCGGCAACGATATCCCGCGATTATCAACGACAATCATACCTCGCGCATTAATGCGTCATTAATCTACTTGACGTATCAAATCATCGCGAATAATCACGCGACGTTAGAAAATTAATTTTGCATTCAATTCGTTGCAAATTTTACTAATATTTCACTGATTTGAATATATATCGCTCGATATTAAAGTTTGATTTCGACATCCCCTTCATAATCACCGAACGTACCGCGAGCATTTTCAAGGGCCCTTTTCTACGGTTTTGACAACGATTTCGATCGCGACTTGATGGAAACGACACGCAACGATGAAATTGATTGCGCTCCGGGATCTCGTTTACTGCCACGCTTATGAGACACGCACAAGTGTGCGGTGTATCGCTTAATGTTGCGTGGGTGGTGGTTTTTCCCTTCAACAAGGACTTGGCTGCCGGTGTTGCTCGCGCGAGGCAAGGACGCACCGCAAGGCGCCACGCGGCTGTTTATCGAGTTTCTTCGTAGCTCGTTTTATGCGTTGCGAGAATTACATAACGCACGTTAAAGTTTCCGGGTGATAGATTAGACTGAAAAGTTTCACCACCTCTTTCCTTTTTCTTTCTTTATTTTTTTTTTTTTTTTTTTTTTTTATTAAATTATTGGACACGTGACTGCAGAAATATCATAATACCTTGATTTTCATGCGTAAATTGTATTATCGTACGTTACGTAGTTGTACAATCAAAAGCTTCTGGGAAAGCATATAGATCGATACTTCGATTAGTCTTTTCATAATCGAAATATCAAGGAAACTGCAAACAACTTTCAAGATATAAAAGAACGAAAAAAGACATTCTAACAACTATGGTTTTGGAAAGCAATTAAATGCTTTACCCTTAATCTCCTACTGTCAACTTTACTCAAGGAGAAAAATAAAGAGCTTCCTAAAGATTAATTGTTTGGAAAAGCAATTATAGTGATATTTAATTTTTAATCTTCCTTTTTCGATTTTAATTTAAATAATCCTTACATTTTAGATTCTTATATATACGTATATATAATTATATACTTATTTATATTTCAAAATTCCGTTTAAAAACTCATATTAAAGTTTAAAATATAAGGATTATAAGTATTGTTAATATTAAAATTTAAAAGCAAGATCGTAAAACAGTTCCTCGATTATTTTCTATACATGTACACGGAAAGTTGAGATATAAAACAGCAAATATCTTGTAGGAAGTTATTTTCGAAGTCTCTATGACCTGTATTTTATTCGAGAGTATTAAAAGCCTATCGGATAAAACGCTAAACGCTAAAACGCTAAAACTGTTTTAAAGTTTTATTTTTTAAAACGCAGATGCGATTCATCTTATTTCGATTAAGAGATTATTCATTGAGATTACTCAGTGAGGCCCCCCCATTCAGAGGCGTGGAATGATTATTCATACGAAACCTGACGGAATTAAAACATTGCGCGATTATTGCGGAGCGCCCCTTCATATACAATTTTATTTTACATATACAATTTTATTTTACATATTACAATTTAAAGAGAAGCTGTTAATGCTTTACTTTTCTCGTATCTTTCAAGACGCATTCAGCTTCAATAAATATGTTAAATTATGCATAGAAGATTAGAAGCAATTGTTTACATTCGATCAGTTCCTCTCTTTGAATTTCCTTTTCTCTTATCTATTAAATTACGATTTAATATGTACGAGTAAATTATTATCAATCGTTATAATTTTCTAACTAGTCGCGCACACAAAATCTACACCTATAATTTTTCCTTCAAAAATCGGATATTTTTTTCTACGAATATAAATATTTTCAATGATGCTCGATAAGAAATGATATAATATTTAAAAGAACTAACGGGTCATCCGCGCAATCATTCTTATCAACAATAAATTTTTCATATTCTCGACATATTAATTTTTATGCCGATATAAATATCTTTTTATTATAATGTCAATACATGGAATCAAAATTTTATTTCTGTGTTCCACATACATGAGGGATATATCATATTGTATAATGTAATATTTGCCGATCCAGTCCCACAGTTTATAAAGTAAAAGATAATTAAACACTCACCAATACGATGCGCAACAGCGGAGTTTAATTACTCTACATCGATCTGCAAAATACAAATATATTTAAATTATAAAAGCATTAAAATAATTAATACTTTGAAAGACAATTCTATGCGTATTAAATTTTTTATTCCCTCAAGTAAAATATTTTTATAAAATTAATTGTATATAATTTTTTAAAATCCGTTTTTTTTTTCAAGTATAAACTTTCGTAAAATTTCATAGACAAAAAGACTTTCTTCTTTATTTTTCATATAAACGATTTAATAAACAGTACAATTGATTGCGTATAAATGATATAGATGTATACATAAAGAAGGAATTACTCACCCCTCCGATGCCATCTAGCCCTCCTCCTCTCAGAATTCATCGTTACCGTTCCTTTACGGTGTTCATTCACTCGCGAACACACGATTCACTACACTACACTAATTTACAAAATAACGATTATACGGACCCTCTATACGACACTTCCGGCGTTAATGGAATACGACATGCACTTTACTGAGAATAACGTGGAAGAAACGCAAACGCGTAAAGGTACAATTTGCTTGGAAAGGGCGCAGTTTCATAATTGCGGTTAATACGAAATTATTATTATTATATTTCTCGCGATAATATCAAATCTATTCTTTTATGTATACGCATTAATAAAATACTTTTTCGTTTAGAGATACTTTTTTTGATGTACTGCATCTAGCTATTCAAAAATAATTATTAAAGCCGGAATTAGAATGTGGAATAAAATAATGAAATGTAATTTTAAAATAATTGAACGTAACTTTTACTTTGAAAGTTCTTTTTTGCTTTTATCTAAAGTAACCATCTTCAAACGAGAAGGCATTAGTATCGCTTTCTGTACTTATGTATATCTTCCGTCCTTTTGATTAACAAGCCGTACACGTTCGGGATACATCTCCAATTTCGCGTAATACATGTATTATTTATGAACGAACGATTTATTGCAGATTTCCATTACTCGCGCTTACGCGAGATCCATACATTACTTTTACGCCCTCGATTCAAAAGCGATCACGCTCAAGATCAGCGAAATGATCATTTCCCCTCCCTCCTCCCTCTCCTCCTCCTCCTCCTCCTCCTCCCTCTCCCCTCGCAAGATACCGCAATGAAACAATTTATAATTCTATGGGCCCGCGTTTCGCGTATTCTATCCCAAGGATGATTGAATGCGTGCGAGATACCCCGTGATAAATGTTCGCTTCGATACGTTTACGAGGCGCTAATGGCGGTAATTAATTATTCACGTGCGTTGAAAATTGTAAATTATTCGTGAGGGGAACACGAGCACGTTTTCTCCGAGTACCTGCCGCGATCGCGGTTCGAGAAGCAATAACACGGCGCGGTGTCTCGAGCGGCGACCCGTAAACAAAACAAGTACAAGCGCCGTAGCGAAGAAGGAAAACACCGCGGCACGGAAATCATCGTGTGCCGGTTAACAATTCGTAATATTCAATGGCTCGGAAAATATAAACGCTTTAAAACCTTCTTTCTCGATTTCTAGTATTTTAAATTACTTTCATTATCTGAACACTTAATCGTTGTCTTCATCCCTATAGATCTTTACCTCGTGGTATCATTAGTCTCGGTCCACAACAGATATTTAATCTTTAAGACCAATCATAGTCGATTATTTTTTTCATATTCGATTATAATTGGTCAATTTCTTACTTCTTAACGCTTAAATCACCTATCGTGGATCGAGACTTAACGTTACTCGGAGTGACGATTAGTTCCGTTGATTGAGAAAGGTTTAGAATTTTCATTATTTTTTGGTTCTCTTAATTTGATATATTGATAATTTGATCAATGTATGCAATTTTATATATATAAATTATTTTGTAATTATTAAGTGCTTAGTTAAAAAATAAAATTTACTTTTGTTTGGATAAAAAAAAATATAAAGAGTAAAAACGTTTATTAAACAAAGAGCACGTTTCTCATAACTTTTTTAATGAAATAAAATTTATATTATCTAAACTTCCGGATATTTTAATTTTCAATATATTTTCATATTATAATATTTTATGTGTCAAAATCTTTAATTAATCGGATTTTATCGATTGTTAAATTAATTGATTATGAAGTAACATGTCTATTATTCACACGCAATACATTGCTGTCGAACGCCGTTGAATAGGCGTTACTTAATTATCGTTCCACCAACGCGATATTAGAGAATATTTATTTTACGAAATAATTGGCATATCGCATTGGCGTAATTAATAATTTATGACGATGTTATAAAACTGATTGAAAATGAAAATCTAGTTTTGTTATTGATATCCTCGTGCAGTCACGCTCTCTTTTCCGTAGTAAACGTAATCAAGTAGAGCAGATCATACGAAAATTACGTATATCGGATTAGCATATTTGCGATCGTTCGCTCTGACCGTCGGCCGTACTGTAATCGAACTTGCATATCCTGTCGACGACGACGGAGGACGGTTCCGATCAACGGGTAGTAACTTTATTATCAGTTTAAATTCCATTAAAAGTTTCCCCGTACTACCAACTCGAGAAGATGTGATAGCGTCGATTTATTCGTATTTAGTTAGGTCACGCGAATTCTCGAGCTGATTTGTCTCGCATATCTCTTATTATCTTTTAACAGCATTTTATAGTTTCCAGTCAAAGTTGTTTCTCTTTTATGTTTTATATATGTGTCTCTTTTATTACACTTGAGTTATTTAAAAGAGCGAGATTATATTTAATTTCCGTGAAAGAATAAAGATTTAGTTTACAAATAATTATTTATTTATCTGGTTTAGTCATATTAAATTATTTTTAATATATTTATTATACTTATTATATGGTATTTGTATAAAAATTTATAAAGAAAAGCTTTTTTTATAAAAAGAATTAAATTTTTGTTTTTAAACTAATTATTGCAGAAAATATATTTTATAAATAAATACGATAAATTTATTATATATTTTGCTACATTTTATAAGTAATTATATTTTATTAGAAAAATATACTTCGTATCTTCGGGTCAAATTATCTGTATGAAGATCTTCGATTCATCTTATTCTATGCGGTGTAAAAAATGTCGCAAGTAATTCATCGCAAGTAATTCATCGAAACCGCTTCTTGCGAACTTCATCGAGTTCACGTCCAATCCTGGCGTAGTTCTTGTGACAGCAAGAAGTTAATTGGTAGTCAAGATACAGAGTTTACGTGTCAAAGGGCTTTAAATTCTCCAGCCCTTCTTATGCGTTGCCTTGACGCCGCTCGTCGAAGCGTCAAAATAAATCGAGTCGTACTTTTATAAAGGTCACGTCGGATCGCAAAATTAATGAAAGCCATAAGACGACAACTCAACTTCGTCATTTAGCAAAGTGACATTTCGCGTATTCGTTGCATAATTATTAATACAGTTTTTCCAAGTAATTTATTATGTTACTATCGTTTATTCTTCTACGAGATAAAAAATACCTTTAGCCATCGGTTTATTTTTCAACAAAATTGCTATGTTTTTGCTACTTTTAATTTTGATGAATGTTATTCCTAGGTAGGTAAGCAAAATAAATATGTTGTTTGGTTCACATTTAAGTGCACATTAAACCCCGATTTAAATAGAAAATAATATTAAAAGTAAAAAAGTAAAAAAGTTAAAAAATAAAGATTTTTAAAAATATTATATAGCTATTTTCTAAAATTTTTTATTGTGTTTGGATTTTTCTCAATTTTCTAATTTCATCGATTTTGACCTTTTTCAACATTTTGTATGTGGAAAGGAAACAAAATATCGAAAAATATCAGGTATTAAAATATCAACCTTTTTTTAAATGCTCTGTAGTTGTAATTTAATAGCGAGAAAATAATGCGAGGGAGCCTTTGTGCGACAAAGGCACATATAATTCGTGGATGCATTGTTCGTGTCACGACACACACAATATATGGAAACATTTAGTCTATAAAGTGCACTGTCATCGGAAGCGGCGAGTTCAAAGCGAGCTTATTCGTGTAAAGCATAGTTACCTTGAAAAGCTCTTCTGCGTGAATTTCAGTCTAACAACATTTTTACATATTTTTTTTATCCACTGGTCATTAAATATCACATTTCAATATTTGAAGCGGTCTACGAAAAAGAGCATATCCTGCTCTCTCTCTCTTGAAAATAATATCGGGTCCAATATTATCTTTAAAAAAAATAGGATATATTTAACCAGAAATAAAATATATTTAACTAAAATATATTTAACTAAAAATAATACATCACGTTTCAAGTAATAATTTATTGATAATCATTCGAGATGTCATTTTATATTTTCTATATATTGTAAGCAGGATAAATGGCTTTTAGAAACGGCTTTGAGATATGTTTTGATGTTTTGAACTATATAAAATCTAATGCACGATGAAGATAACATTTAGTGAAGCAGCTTTTATCTCGCGGTATTTCCTAATTGGTTATTTTATATAAAGCTACCCTAACATCAAAGGAGCGCTATTTCTATTAATACTGTAGGAGGATTACAGGACATGCATAAAAGAAGTCGTTTTCCTTTTTCTACGACAGCTTTGAAGATCCACGTCAGCCCGAAAACGAAGGAAATCCTGGACAGCTTTGGCACATTTGAACTGGTCTGCAGGGGAGAAGTCGTATTAAAGGTAAGCCCTCTCGATCGATATGCGAAGTTTCCTTGATTTCGTCGAGATCGAGATTATCCTTCTATCTCATCTTTTATCTCGCGAATCCAACTGTCGCTTCAAAATCGAAAAGAGATCCTCCTGAGTCGATAGTCCTCATGAGTCGGAAGGTAGAAGTACCGAATAAGGTTACCGTTAGAAGTATCGAATAAGATTATTGTGTGATCTTTTACGTAACAAAAATATTATTGGGAACAAAGGAGGAAAAAATAACTTCTTTCCCCTTTCTAATTATTTTCACGTATCCTTATATAATCTTTTGCAAATTAATCTTTATTTTTACATTTTAACATTAGAGTGCTTATACTCGCACAGTGAAACGTCAATAAAACGTAATAGGACATTGCAAAGATAAAATAATTGTTTAAGATATCTTTCTAATAAAATTCACTTTATAAATCTAGTATATTTAAAATAAATTTATTTTGCACCACCTTAATATCGTAATTTTTCACAGGATAACATCAAAGGGGAAAAAAAAATCTCTCTTTTGAATTGTTTATTTTGATATTCCAAAGTGTTATTGTAACTCGTAACGTGTAACATGTAACGCGCAAGCAACGCTTCGACGAGGGACTTGGCTTTTCCAACTTCGACGATCGCATTTGCAGCTCCGGGAAGCTATGAGTTGCAGATTGTAGTCATGTCCGGTGCGTTGCTCAGTTTCCATATGTGTCCATTTGTCTCGTTATATATTCAGGGATGCTGTGCCGTAACTGCTGAGCACGTTAAATTCAGTCTCTCTCTCTCTCTCTCTCTC